CAAAAATTACCTCATGATTCTTTCTTAGAGTCCCTTACTTTCACAAATTCAATGATCACTTAATTGTCCAGTAGTCATGGTCTGCCTTTTTCGGACTCTAAAAATTATGACTTTGAATGTATGGAATATTTTTTTATTCCCAGAGATTCAGGTCTTCCTTTCTCTCTATATATTTTTGCCTAAATATTCCCATTGGAAATTTTCAAATCAATCAAAAACATTTTATTTTTCACAACTGCTCAACAAAATGTACTTACAACTCCGACCTCTCTTCTGATAAAAAAAAATTTCCATTGTACCATTTTTGTTTGCCTTTGGCCGATTTTTTGTTGATTTTGGTTTTGCGACTACATTTCTTCTTCTTTCGCGACTACATTTGTGGTCTTCTTCTTGTTCCTCTATGAGTATGTGTCACATTTGAAAGTAGACAAAGAATTGTTATAATTTATGGCCTTTCCTAAAAAGACAATCATCGTCAGCGTCATTGGTGACATAGACAACGACAGCGGCAACAGAAAGAGCAGAGGCGAACGCAACACTCGCTCCCAGTCCTACAAAATGCTCACCAGCCAGACGACAGACAGCAACAAATTTTTGAAACACATGATCATATACACACATTCCCAAACATACATCATCAACAACTGAGCCAAATAACAAAAACAAAACAAAAACCATCACACAAATGTTGATCATTGCCATTTGATGGCGATGTTTATTCGCCTGCCCTGCGTTGTAGCCACCATCAGCTTGTTTCTCTAATGAAATGCTTCAATGATTTGGTGAATACGAAAAAAAGCGCCAAAAGTGAAATGAATTTCTACTTATTAAGCTTTTTTCGAGTGTGCGAATGGTTCTTTGTTTTTGTTTTGGTTGTTCTAAGTTAAAGGGGTTTGTTGCTGTTGTTGCTGAGGGCATAGTCTTCTTTAAATATTCATGGATTTAATTAACACCAATTGAACTGCATGTCATTTTGGTATTTAGAGGAGACAACAACAAATTAACCAAAAATATTTAAAACAGAAACACACACACACACAAGAAGATTCTCCCCCTTGCCTTTCGGTCTTTATTTTGTTTTGCATTTTATTTGCTGTTGTTGTTTGTGTAGAAAATCGTCGCACACATAATTTATGGTTTGAGTCAATTGTTGTTTATCATTTTCGTCTGTCGAAAAAATATTTATTGCTTTTTGAATATGCCTGACTCGAAGCGCACACATTTTCTGGTTTACCAAAAAATGTCAGCTGTTTTTTGGCAAGTGGAATTGAAATAGTATAGCGAAAAGTCGTTTTTTATGATTTTTAGTTTAAACATTTTGACCACAAACGAATTTGACAAATTGTTGGATTTATAAAAAAAAAACTAAATTATTTAAAATCTAATCTGAATAAAAATCAAGAATGTGGGTTAGTATAACAGTTTTATAAAAATTTAAAATGCCTAAAAATCGGCTACATCATTTCTACAACAATAAAAATGCAATTTTGTCAACATTTCTATGAATTTTCATGTGTATAACAGTTGTATAACAGTTTTGCAAACTGTTATACTGCTCCGAAAATGCTTTAAATTACTTAAAATGAAATGTGGAATCATCAGCAAGGCTACATTCATATTTCAAAACTGTTATACTACCCCAATCTCATTGTAAATGTCCCATTTATTAGCCTTTTAAATTTAATTTGCGGAATTTGTGATGTATTAGTTTTTTAAATCAAATAAATTTATTAACTTAATCACTGCTGTTATGTATTTACATTGATTGCCTATCAAAAAGAATGTTTAATATCTTGTATTAAACTGCCCATAAAAACCATAGCTACGTGATTACCCCGGTACCAACGCACAAATAATACCAATAATCTACTTATTTTCGGGATAACTAACAAAATTAAAATCCTTAATTCCATTTAATTTTAACAATAACAACAAAAACTTTAAATTGCCGACTTAACAACTACATAACACAGCAGAATATTGTGAGGGTTTGGCAATGCGTTTTGTGATTATGACCTTAAAAATTACCGATCGAAGGAAACTTCGTTAGTCTCTGAACCAGGCCAGGCAGCAAAAGGAGGGTCTGCCAAATAAATACCAACATACAGGTTACGTAATTGTAGTGTAGATTGAAAATGCTAGCAGGTCAAAAACCTTGTATCCCATACAAGACAACAATAATAATAACAACAACAAGAACAGCAAATGCCAAGAACAAGAACACTATCCAAAGTAGCAGCCATAACAACGTTCCATTTTTTCCAAAAGCTTTCTTACTGCCCTGCCTGGCTGCCACAAGTTAGTTAGTTAGAAGGCTTGTTTTCGTGTATTGTTGCTGTTGTTGTTGAATGTTATTTTAGCGGTTATATTGATTTTCTTGTTGTTCGTTTCTGCTACAAAAAACCAATTCTGTTCGAATCAACAACAAAACGCGCCATCTTCAGCTTCGTTGCCCCCTCAAAAAGGAACAGAACCCATGAAGAAAATATTATATTTAGTTTTTTTCATTGCTGGCGGTTTGCTTGGTGTTTAAGTGGAGATCGAAGAGATTTCTTCAATAGCCTAAAAAACTGGAATTTATTGCACATTTTTTGCTGTTGTTGTTCCTGTTGTTTACAAGAATTATTGTAATATGTATGTAAATTCAAAAGTATGCTGGTGTTGTTTTAAATTTTAAATTGGGATACTCTAACCAACCAAAAAAATGTATTTCCATATTTAAATTCCTTTTATTGCAAACAACTGGTATTATGTTCTATGTTGAGGCCCTTTTTTGCTTTCTGATTTTTTTTTTTTCAAAAAATTATGCTAAAGGGTTAAATTGCCCACTGGTTCGAAATTATGGGTTTCACGTGCTTTTGTTTGTTGTTGTTGCTGCCGCATGGTCGACTTGAACTCTTGCATTATTTCCAGCATTGTTGTTGTTTTTTTTTCTGGTTTAAAAATATCATGTTTTGTTTTTGCAAATGTCGGTCGTAACATTGTTGTTGCCAGCAAGTTAATAAGTTTTCATGTTGCTGTTGTGAACTTTTATTTTTTTGTGTGCACTGTTCCTCGTGTAAATATGTACATATATACAAGATGTTGTGAATGTACATAGTTAAGCTGTGTACATGTACATTTTAACAACATTGTTAGCAGCACGAGCTGAACTACATAAGGTTATAAAATTCATTACATGGGGTTTAAAAAAATTTTCGGATTTTTTAAACATTAAAAAATCTTTGGTTTTGTGAAAAAATTGATTTGTATAAAAGTTTTACAAACTGTTATACTCGAGTAAAGTTATTAAAATTTTCAAATTTTGCGGTTTTTATAAAAAAACTTATTGTTTTTTCAAAATCCAGTCAGTATAACAGTTTTAAAAACTGTTATACTGCAGTAAAAATTATAAAAACCTGGAAGTTTTTTTATTTTTATGTGAATATAATTTAGCACAATTTATTGTTAGAAAATATAAGCGATTATCTTAAAAAAACAATTTTTTTTATTAAAAATATTAAAAATTGTAATTACAAACATATTGAAATTTTAAAATATTAATATTTAAGCAATTTTTATTATTGCCTTTAAATATAAAATTTATATAGCATTTGGATCCATTCATTTAATATGTATAAAAAATATATTTTTTATCAGAAAATCGATTAGTATAAAAGTCGTATAACAGTTTTCAAAACTGTTATACTAGAGTAAAATGAGTAAAACATTTTTCGGTTAATTCGTATTGTCCCACAATTCTTTTTCTGCCCTCCTCAAGTTATTTTTTTCTTAGACCTTGACGTTTATTTGAAAACCATTTAAAACCAAAGGCTGAGAATGCTTAAACAGCAGTATAAAGCATTTTATTTTTCAGCACTACCCACTTATTTTTTTGCGACATACATTCATAGCCACTTACATTGTTGTATGTGTGGTGTACATGCATACATACATTGTCTTGCACCTCCAGATAATTATGTCCTTTACCGGTTTTTCATATACATATTTTTTGCTGTGTGCTGAACTTCGTAACACAAAATAAGCCAACCATTTCAGAAGGGCTAGTGGTTATGAGAGCGGAAAAAATGTTGGCACTTTAACAGCATAGCCAACCAGCCATCCAATCAATGCGTCCAAAGGAAATTTGCAATTTACCCTGCAATGGCAATGAAATTATGTACAGAGAAGGTAGAATTTACCGGATATATTATCAGTTCAATATAAAACACTTGAGGCTTATTTTTGGCAACTGATTTCATGACCGTTCTTTTTTTCTTCGTCTACCATGTTTTTGTTTTGATGGTGGTATATAAAAATTATTTTAAACGATTTAATCTAAATTTGATTTTTTTTCTTGCTCATGAAAATTGTTTTGTGTAAATATAAATATTTAAAATAATATTGCCACAAGTTAAACACAAAAACAACAACAATAATAATTGTTAGTATTGAGGGCATTTGAATAACCGTTGTTATCAGATTTAAAGGAATTTTTATGCAACGGTTTTATTTACATAAAATTACAGGGAAATGGGAAAAATGAAGAGAAATGTTTATATTAATAATTATAGGGATATTCAAACATGTTTGATTACGATTCTACGTAGGTCAAAAGGGTAATTGTTAAATATGTATAGACGAACTTTAATAAAAATATTATATTTCGCTAAAGAAATTTTATATGTAGCTCAAGGGGAAATTAGCAGAAAAAGAAGAAAAAAATGTAGGCAACCAAATGTTATTGAAAAATATTTCAAAATAATTTTTATAAAAAATAAATATTTTCCCCAACCTCCATTTAACTATTTCCCCCTAAAAATACAATTTTTATTACTTACAGAAAGCAGCCTTTGACTTTAAATTATAATAATTTTTTACATTTAATTTATTTTTTCTAATACTAATCATATTTATTTTTTCCCTTTACAGATCTTCGCTTAACCCCTTTCCGCTGAATTTATTAAGTTCCTTTCCCCCTACGTGAACTACGGCTAATTGTTAGCCGCCAATATTTTGCAACAAAATACCGTCCATCATGGATCCCGATTGCTTTGCCATGTCTTCATATCAGTTCGTCAACTCACTGGCCTCATGCTACCCACAACAAATGAACTCACAACAGGGCCATCCCGGTAATCCCAGCGGCAGTGCAAATACCCCGAACAGTAATGGCGGCCCTGGGGCTGGTAGTGCGGGTAGCGCTAACTCCGGTGCTGCCACACCGGGTAATGATTATTTTCCTGCCGCAGCTGCATATGCACCAAATCTATACCCGAACACACCTCAGGCTCATTATGCCAATCAGGCAGCATATAGTTTAGGTGCGGGCGGTGGTGGTGGAGCTGGTTCTCAGGCTACACCTCCCGAAATGGTTGATTATACACAATTGCAACCTCAACGTTTGCTGATGCAACATCAACAGCAACAACAACAGCAGCAACATAATGCTCATGCGTCTGCTGTCAATCAACAGCAACAACAGCAGCAACAACAACAATTAGCCCAACAACAACACCCGCAACAACAAACTGGCAATCTCAGCTGTAAATATGCCAATGATCCTCAAACACCCACCGGCAATAATAATAGTTCCAACAATACAAATAACAATCAATCATTGGCCAGTCCTCAGGATCTATCGACACGGGATATATCACCGAAATTATCACCATCATCGGTTGTGGAAAGTGTGGCCAGATCACTGAACAAGGGTGTGTTGGGTGTTAATCTAAACAATAATCACAGCAATAATGTTAACGTGCCCATGCACAGTCCCGGCGAAGGTGAATCGGATTCGGAAAGTGATAGCGGCAATGAGGCGGGCAGCAGTCAAAATAGTGGCAATAAGAAAAATCCTCCACAAATATATCCCTGGATGAAGAGAGTACATCTGGGTCAAAGTAAGTAGAGAGAACATTTTTTTATTTATTTATTTTTTTTAAATAAGAGGAAATTATTGGATATGAATTTTAAAGGGAATATAATTTTTTACAAATTTTTAAAATACCCCAAATATTCTACAAGACATCTTCGGCAAAGTTGGGCGGCCAGGCTCATTTACACTTCGTATAACCTGTACGCAGTGTATATTAATTTTATCATTCTATTTTCAACAACTGAAATTGTATATTGCTGGTCAGAATAAAATTCTATGTCGACCTATCCATGCCCATCCGTATGTCGCAATATTTAAGACAGAGTTCTGAAATTGGTGGTTAAAAATTAGATACAACTCTACAGTCATCTTTTCCATATCGATGGTTTTAGCCTCATTTTTCAACAGATATGAAGTTCCAGCCACATTTTCCGTATTTTTAATGTTTTAGTCGCGTTTGCCCACCAAAGTGGATATAATTCGATATCCTGATTCCCTGATAAATAAAATAGTTCTTTGAAAAAAAAAAATGTTTATGCATTAAAATTCTGTGTTCTTCGCCGAAAATAATTGGTATAGGTCCATATTTTACCATAGCCACTCATATGAAGTTCCAGCCCTATTTTCGGTATTTTTAATGTATTGCCACGTTTGCCCACCGAAGTGGGTGAAATTTGTATACATAGCCTCAGCACCTGGTCCTACTTAATTTAGGTTCTGTTGAAGTTCATAATTCAATTTCTAACCTCAGAGTCGTTAAATTGATATTTTTGCTTTCCGAGAGGATAATAAATCTTCTGGCGGACAATTTACAATAGGTCCACTTTATAGTAGAGGCTATAACATGTTCGGCCCGTCGAATTTAACAACGTTGTTACTTATTTTGTAAATATTTTTTTAATTTTTCTCTTTGGAAAAATTTTTGAAATTAATTTCATTTCGAAGAAATTTATCATCTAATCGATCATAGGAAAATTCAGCATCACTAAAAAATAAATCTACTTCTCATTATAAGCAAAACCAAAAAACTTATGATTTAAATGACTGATTATTTTAACACTTCAACTTGTCAAAACAAATAAACATTAAATTCATGCTATAACCACATAACAACAACAAGAAAACCATTCAAAAGATTTCCAAATGTATTGTTCATTGAGTTTTTTCTTCCCGTTTCCTTAAATTAGACCGCGTGCTGCGAGGAAACTGCGAAAAACCCCCACAATAATAAAAACAAAAAACCACAACAACAACTAAACTATTTCAACTCCCACCAAAAAGTCTGGCGACGACGAAAACACAGCGCTGAACACTCAAACATACATAGAAAAAAACATACTTTCACTAACACCTCTCCCTTCAACTGCAGAGATTCCAAAAATATAGTCGATTTTTTTTGTTAATATAAATAATGAAGCAGTTTTGGGGGGAAAACCTGCATGAATTTGAAGGCACACCAAAATCAGCTCTTATAAATAATGACTAACAATTTTTCTTGGGTGTCATAGAGATTTTTTGTTCGTTTTGTTTTTCCAAGTTCACTGGAAAAGTGCTTGTCCTCAGAAGCCACAATGTGGAAGAAGACATAGGTTATGAAGCTAAACAAAACAAAATGAGACGAAAAAAAAACACCCAACTGACAAAGGTGAGAAGACATGACCTATTGACAGACAATTACACGATTTATGTTTTATATAATAAGAAGAAAAATAAAAACAACAAAATAAAATAAATAGGAAATATCATTAAAAATGAAATTGAAAATTTGAGTATAAAATTGAATTTTCCATGAAGTCATTTTGGGGACTTATTTCATTTTTTTTTTTGAAGTTTTTTTTAATTCAATATAAATCACAAATAACCTTTCACATATGCATAGCTCAAGTTTTATATATATTTTTTAATGCCCCTGTAAACAATTTTGTTGAGTAATTATTAACCAATCAGCTAATATATACATATGTAGACAGATCCAATAAAAAATGACAATCACAATTACATACATTCACTCAAATTGTTGTGGTTAAAACGCATTAGGGGGATATATAAACACAAATAAAAACAAAAAAGACCTGAAGTGTAGATCTAACAACTCTGGCTAATGGGAAAATAATTATTAGAGAAACTAGCTAGACATTAACAACAACAATAACGACTAAAAAATCGGCACAAACATGCACACACAAAAATTAACTGCAAATTTACGTGCAAAACGTTACATATTCATCAAAAGCCACCACCAACCTCCCCATTTTTTGAAGAATTTATAAACATTTTGTTGCAGTTTTACAACAAAAAAGTTGAAAACAACCAAAGCCCAAAGCAATGGCAAGGCAAGGCAACATTATGCATGGAGTTTGATTGTCTGTTGTTTTAAGCCACAAAGCTTGTCTGTCAGCCATCCAGGTGCTATTTGATGCAGAAAGTGATGGAATGTGACAGCAAAATTAAACCATGTTAGACTCCAACTAGTAATTGTGTGTAGAGGGTTTTGTTGTTGTTTAGAAATTTCCGATACAAAATAGGCGAGTCCAGATAGTGGTTACAATGTTGTGCGAGTGTGTGATTAGATGCCGGTTAAGAGTTAATACGATTGTTTATTTCTCTGCAAAAAAGGAGAGAGATTAGAGTCTTGAAAAATCATTGAAAGAAATTGATCTGGGAAATTGTTTTTAAATCGCCATGATGAATTATTGATTAAATACAGTATACAAAACGAGAATCAAGAGGCTGAGTCATAAGTTGATATTTAGGGAAAATTGTTGGAAAAAAATTACAGATGAAGAAAATTTTCAAAAATAAAATTACATGCAAATGAATATATTGGAATTAAAAATGCCGCTATTTTAATACTCTCGATAATGTGAACACTCAAACTGAAATTAAAGTATTGGGAAAAAATTGGAGAATTAACGGTAAATAAGCTAATCGAATCGAAACAAATTCGAAAATATGAACTACCCAGACATTATTTAGTTCACATTACCGAGAGATTATTGTTGTTGTTTGAAGACACATGCCCTATGTAAAGATTTCATAATTTTCTTTTTTGCTGTTTTTGTTGTTGTTATTTTCATTTTGCTGTTCATGTTCAGATGTCCGTTCGCACTTTAGCAGCTGTTGATAGAACTTTGAATATAACGACGTCGACATGCGACAGCAGTAGCAGCAATAAAGAAAACAACCCGACACAACAATCAACAGCATTTAATGAAAAATTTATACCGATGTTCGTTCATTTAAAATGTTGCTGCCACTGTTGTTGCTGTATGTTTATTCATGTGACTACAAACGACATATTGCAATAAAATGGAAACGTCATGATCGGGTAGGCTGGTTGGCAGGCAGGCAGCATCATCATCATCATCACATTGATCGCCATGCCACGATATCATCACTTCATCTTCCATTTTTTTCTGCTTACACACTTGCAAATAATAACAACAAAAGCAGAGCGAAAAAAAATTGTGGCAAAATGTATTTCAATAAAAAATATTATTAAAAAATAAATTTAGTATCAGAGGGAGAATTTAGGCGCATAAAACTAATATCGATTTAAATATATTTTAAAAACATTTTAAAAAATATAAAAGTTAAAAATTATAGGAGCTATTCAATTCCCCATAACTCGGTACACATTACATATATGAGTCGTTTATTTTGAAAGTGGCTTAAGTCCATTTTTGGATTTTGATACAAATCTTGTTTTTTTAGAAAATTTTACGGAACATATTATGTTATATATTCAATCATGTTTAAGGGTACAGAGCCACAAACAAAATTAATACTAATTATTTAAAAAAGGCATACAACTTAAAAACTCAAAATTAATACCACTCAACAAATTTTTATTGAAACAAATCAAACCCAAACCTTTAAATACCTTAATGTAAGAAAATATGGACTTAAGACTCATATATAAAACATATACTGCAATCTCTACCACCCATTACATATCCTATGATCCATTTCCCCTTCTTGCACTATCGGCAACATTTTGTTTTTGTTTCTATTACCCTCCATGTTTTCATTTTTTTTTCGTTGCTCCAACAGACATGTTGAAAATTCTTTTTAGTCTACGCTAAACACGGCCTTGTGTTCTTTTCCTCTTCCTCTGTTGTCGTTGTTGTTGTTTTTTCTGTTTCTTTCGATTGCTTTCGATATCAAGTGGAAAATGAAATAATAATAATGTGTTTAATAATTGCAAAATAACTAAGAGGAGAGATATAGAGACCCTCAATTGAAATTGCTTTGATCCCCAGCAATATGAACAACAAAAACAACAACAACACTCCCCACATCATGCTGCTGTATAATTTCATTCGTTTCTTTTTTCCACTTTTTCTTCTTCTCTTTAGCATGCCGTAGACAAGCCTTGACTTTAGATTATTCAATATTTTGAAATTATTGTTGTTGTTGTTGTTGGGGAATTAAATAAAGAACATGTATAAGATATGTATGTTGTTTCTTTAAATAGGTTGCCTGGTTGGTTGGATGATTGTATGATTGTCGGTCTAGAAGTGTTTTCTTTCAGTGCATATACATACATATATATTTTGCATGTTACCAATTATCTGGTAATTATGGAAAAATAATAAAATTCTGAACATTCTGTAATTGGTGATATTACGTTTTGAAGCAACTTCCTTTTTAAAGAAAATCAGAGAATGTTGTTCAATGAAAATTTAAAATTAGGGACTTTTTTGTTTAAAGTTTTGGATTTTTAAAACTGTTATACTGAGGCATATTTTAATTGTTTTATACTAACTATATATTTTTTATACTAACTATATATTGCAATGAAAAGAAAAGCCAGGTGAAGAACCTACGTACCCACCATTATGCGACGCGTTTCGCCGTTGGTTAAGCGGCTCATCAGGCATATTGGGCTAAAAAACGTTGATAACTTATATTTACATGCGAAACTTGCATATGCGAATTAAATTCAAATTTGTCAAAGTCCGACATTTCAAAATTTTCAAAGCAGATTTTTGTTGTAGCGATGGATAATTAATCCACACACCT